ATTAATGATCCGTGGCAATATGCAACCAGTGTTCTTTCAGCTCTTTGACCTCTGGGATACTCAGGAGCCGGCAGAGATGCACAGGAAGCTCACTCATTAAAGGATTTAGTTTCCCTTATTGTCCATCAACTTCTGTATTTTAATCCTTTGCTTCTCAGAAGCAATCTCCAGCCAAAGCCCAAAGAATACAGTGATTTTTCTTTTTGTTTTTGGAGAATGTTGAAGTGAGTTTTACCCATCAGGGCTAGTTCTGGACCTATGGGGCTTGTGCCCTTCTGGTGGAAGTGAGTAGGATGTGGCGGCTCTGTGCTGGCCAGTGGCAAGGGTGGATTTTAGCATCACTGAAGTGCCACACCACGTACTCATCACTGCTCCAACACCGCAAGCACACCCAGTTTGGCGTGATGAAACTGTCACGTAAGGCCAAATGGCACTCCTGGACAAGTTGGGTCTTGTTTCGGGGATGGGTCTCAGCTCCTTCAAAGGCAGACATTTCTGTGTTACAGCAGCTCTGGATGCTGTAGCAGTCAGGGAAAAGCGGCAATTCCCCTATAAATGCTCTTGCGCAACAACTCCACAGCAAGCAAAGGGGACTGGTGTGTGCTTGGTGCTCTGCAACAGATCAAATACTCTCCCGTCAGCCCTTGTTTGCACAGCTGCCATGCTCGTAAAAGTCACCCAAAGTCGTTGGTTGCCCGGTTCAGTTTACTCCTTTGAGTCTTGGTTGGCAATTTGCTCATATGTTATAATATTGCTCAGCTTGCAAGATTGCCTCCATTCATTTGTGTTGCCAACACTTTTGTAACAGCACACGGTCAGAATCACAGGCCTGAAAGGTTGGAGGGGAAACCTGATAACTTTGCATGCTTGCATCAAGCCTTGTGGCTCGTGTCTGCCTGTGGCACGGCATCCAAACCAGCACTGCCCTCAAAATGGTGAATCCATCCTTTTCCTTCATAGTTTCTTACCAGGACTAATCACTCTTCATGGACTTTTGTATACTTAAATTTCCCTGATTCTCACTGCTAGATTTATTTTCCTCTTCTTTGTCCCCTGGATTGCAGCATCTCATGGGCCTTGTAGAGTGAAGTCTTAAGTGAATTGGTTAAAGTATTTGCCTCTCTTTATTTGTATTTTTATTTGTAGACATCTTCTTTCTGTTGAACGGCCTGAGAATATTCATGGAAATGAACAAAGCAGCAGTGTCTGGAGGTAGCTTCTGCCCGTTGTGTCACAGATGGGGGTATTGGCAAGGACACATTGGGGTATGGAAGATGGCAAGCAGCACCTGGGATTTGCCAGGAAGGAGGGAGGGCATCAGGGAAAATAGCAAGTGTGATGAAGGGGAGGTTAAAAGGGTGGTAAGGGAGATTTCCTTAGCTGGATGTTTCCTTGTTCATAACAATTTATATAATCTAATCTAATTGGCTTTAACCAAGCTATGTTTTGATGTTCACTTTCAGGGCTTTTTTTGTTTCTTAGGAAACAATTTGTGAGAACTGCTGTCACCCCAGTCCATGTCCATGTCCCCTCTGCTACAGCCATAATGTTGCATCATCACATACTATGACAATATCGATGTGTTGCTTTGTGCAGAGTTAATCCAGGGCAGGTTTATCTATTGCAGCCTGGGAGACACACATTGGGAGAGGGAGAGGCTGGAGAGGGGGGACAGAGGGAAGAAAAAGGCTGCAGAGAAGTGAGGTTAAGATCCTCTCACTGAGATGGAAAGAAGAAGGGATTGGAATAATATGGTCCGTTGGTTAAGATAATACTCTGGGGTCAGGGGATCTGGTTTCTTGGCACAGTCTGCTCCCTCCTCTCATGCGATTACAGAAAAACTTCCATCTTTTCTGCATGCCACTTCCGCTTTTGTAAAATGGGAGCGACACCTTTTAAAAAAAATAAATCCTGGCAGATCTTGAGGAGACCAGATATTCCGGTGAGTATTTCTGCTAAGAGAGATCACCGGTGGGGCTGCGTGGAGGCATTTGAAGGCTTAGCAGAATGAATCCTCTGAACCTTTGAGATTCACTCAGTGCATCTAGGGGGGGATAAAAGCAGAGTTAATTAAGCCATTCCCAAATCCCTCCTGATCCATGACCATCAAGCAGCTGCTGCTGCACAGTGCTTACCTCGGCTCTTGATGTACCCAATCATCCATGCAAGCCAGAAGTGTCTGTCTGTCTGTTACCTGCATGTCTGGCACCTCCAGTCTGCTCACAGAGGAGTGGGACAAACTTGTCCCAGTCCCGTTGGCCTTTGTGGTATCGACAAAATGCTGTAAGGATACTGCACCCAATCTCCCAAATCACAGAGAGTTATTGTAATGAACACTGTTTAGCCTTGAAGGTCAATTATTGGGTATCAGGGCTGTAGGTGATTGCTTGCCCATGCTTTAAAGTGAAGAAAGGAGCTGCTGCTGGCTGCAGTGACCTCTGCTGGGAAGCCCACGGCCGCTCCGGTCCAGCTTCAGAGACACAACCCGCAACTCGATCTAAACCATAGGTTTCTCCCCAAGTGATTTCCATCAATTGTTCTTTTTTAAATTTTGAATTTCATTTTCCCTTAAATAGCTTGTCATTTGAGAGTCCGTCTGAGTAGGGAAATGCTGTGCAGGTCAAGCTGCATGATTTGCAGGTGTGTGATGTGTGCTTCACTGAGAATGCTAAACACTGTGTAATGCCACGATTAAAGCCCTGCTGGTCTTGGGGAGGCTGAGGCAAAGTGGAAAAAAATGTCTCCTTCCTGTCTCAGCAAGCCCTTCAAGTGTGCACGGGCATCACCTCCCAAAGGGACATCTCCTCCCAAATACCCTCATCCCTATGGGGATGGCTCCCTTTGTACTTTGGGGGTGATTCAGCTTCTTCTTCTGCCTTCTTCCCCGTTATATTTTGTATTCCCTGTCTCCTTAAATCCCACGTGCTCACATCCTGCATCTGATTGCAAAGAGGGGCAGCTTAGCTCAGTACAGAGGACCATGCAGTGGTAGGACTAAACCCTTTCTCCCCGCTTCACTTCAGAACTGAGCACCTTCATCCGCCTTCAGAGAGCACCGCGGCGCAGTGCCCGTTTGGTTTGCAAATCAGAAAGGGGAGAGGGTCTTGCGGCAGCCCTCAGCGTGCAGCGTTGCGTGTCGGAATGAGCTCTTTTCTGGCCTCTGCTCCCTGGCTGTTTGCCTTTGTGGGTAACCCACCCGTCAGCCCGGTGTGTGACAGTTAGATGTTGCTGTCAGCTGTCTCAGAGGGGCTTAGCTTGGTTTGGAGAACTTCTGAGGTTCCCAGAAATAGAAATGCAAAGTATTAATATGTGCATGGTAAAAATGTATGACAGACTACGTTGGAGGCTTTCAACTGATAATGCTATAGTAGATTATTTGTGTTAAAACTACCTTCTTGATCATGATGGGATGAGGTACACAAATGATGATGTGAATGTGCATGTGCATAAAGGAAAACGGGTAAACACATATAATATTTTTTATTAAAAGTAACTAATTTCTTGAAGTGTCATTTGTAGCATACCTTCAACTAAAATAAACAACTCAAAAACATCCTTGTCCTAACTGCAACCCTTCAGGGACCAGGCACTAGACCTGCACCAGCAAAATAAAGGTTTCCAAATGTGTGCTGTGTAAAGCCGCGCAGGTGGTGTATAGGTGTCTTGTTGTTAATATTAAGAACTTACTTTGTGATGCTGTCTACCTGGAAATGTTGCTAAAATATCATGGGATTTTCCAGATATTTTAGTGGAGTGAGATGCCTACTCATGTTTTTGTTGTTCTGACATCCTGTAGTGTGTTATATTTGAGTTCACTTATTGTTGATGTTAATTTCCTGTGTGTGAAGGTCTTTAAGTGAATGCAGCTTTTGATGACTGATTATGGACGTAAATTCAGGTCAGTCACAATCTTTCCAGTGAATTCAGAGGAAATTGGGTTAGTCTGCATTCTTACGGGAAAGATCCTGCCAGGCACAGGGGACCTTCCGCTCTCAGCATCTTCACACAGACATTAGGGCACTTGGGACCGTTGACAATGAGGTTCTGACACTTGATTAAGCATCTTAATTAAGCTACTTGAACCTTGAAACACGTAGAGAGTTTTGCATTTTCTGACAATGCACTTTTACTTTCTTTCTGAATGTCTCCATCTGTTGTTTAACTAGTGGTCTCTGCTTAGCACGTCCCAGGCTTCTCTTGCTCTTAAAACAACTGTGTGCAACTCGTATAATTAATATTTTGCCCCTGCAGTTGTACTGGTAGTCCCTTTAGGGTTTGCAAAAGTTAAATGTATGCTTTGGAAATTATTTGTAAGCATTTAAGGAGCAAATCCAGAGAGGCATTGCTCTGAGTAGTTAATTAGATGTATGCTTGTAGAGATGATTTTTCTCTTTAAAGCTAGCATTTTGACAAGAGGCTTAGTGGGAATGATTGGTGGGAATGGTGAGGGTGTAGAAAACCCACGAAGATGCTTGGAGCCGTTGCACAGAAACCGCACAGTGCTTAATAATGCTGCAGGGAAATTCAGGTGTCCAGAGCAGGTGTGACGTTGGAGCAGGGTGAATTTAGTGGGAAGGAGCTTGGGGCTGTCGTACAACTGCTGCCTGCCTGTGCCAGCTTCTGTGTGGGGGCAGATCCCTGCCTTCTCACTGCCAGTCCGCACCCTGCCTCTGTCACCACCTCGCACCCTGCTTTGCTGCTGTCCTGAGACCTCCAGCCAACCATCTTCATGCATCTGACACGGGAACTGTAAACCTCTAATGCCCCAGATACTTAACCCTTAAATATTTTGGCTTCAGAGAGGACTGAAGGAATTTTCTGTGAGTAATAACAGTATTCTGGGCTGTGAAGCACTCCTCACTGTTTACATTGGTCAAGATCATATTTTATGATGTTGAATAAAGCACTGACAAGTAGTGTCTAACTAAAAATAGCTTTATGTTCTGCAGCCACGTAAAAAAATAAAAATCAGTATTTCATCTTATCTTACGTTTTTTCAGGATCAAGCATGAAAATATAGTTGCCCTGGAAGACATCTATGAGAGTCCGAACCATTTATATCTGGTCATGCAATTGTAAGTACTGAACCTGATGATGTTTTTGTGTCAAAATTGCCAGCCGTTCTTGTTCTGGTTTTGTTCTGTAACCCAAAAGATGGGATCTGTGGGAGGTATTAGTCTTGTGTGCTGCAGTCTGCAAAATCCTCAGAACGTGGTTAAAACCACATGTCCAGCCATGATGGGCTGGGTTGTTGTGAAATTGGAAACTGGAGTGTTTTACGAATAGCCTCACCCAAATCAAACCAGAGTGGAGACGAGATGTTAAGGGGATCAGAACTGGCTCTGTACATATGGGGTAGCCATGATTTAGTTCTCTGTGACTCAACAGATAACTGGTCTGTACTGAGCAAGAGGTGATCCGAGATGCCACCATGTGAACGGGTGCTGGATTTGAAAAAACGTGTCGTCCTTGTCTCAGTGGCAGTGGTAGCTCATACCACTGTTCCTTGACACATCGCTCTCATCAGAGCCCCTCTTCTTCCCCATTTTCCCCCTCTGAGCCTGAGAAGATCAGGATCCCATCAGGTACATGGTACACTGTGGCTGATCTGGTCCTCCCATCACATCCACCTGGCAGGGAAGTGACAGTTAGATACTCATACTGCTTTTTTTTTTTTTTCTCCTTCTGAAATCAATTAAAAAACATGATATGAAGGTAAAATTTGCTCTTACCAGCTCCAGTCTCTCTCTTTTTCAATTATGAGGTCACCTCAAGCAAGAGCAGAGCAGACAGGGCAGAAGGATAAATCACAGCTGGGACGAGCCATATGTGTCATAAAGAAGTGTGGAGCATCTGATAGAGGCAGCTTTGGGGTTAAACACTCCATGGGAAGCCTGTTGGTCCCTTGTCTGTTGGTAATGTCCAGGCACAGAGATGTCATTAGAAGCTGTTCTGTTCACAGTGTGGGAAGAATAGTGCCCTGTACATTTTTAATCTGTTTTTGTAGCCCTAAATTTCAGCCCAGTGTGCTGCAAAAGGATGTGCACAGGAACATCAGTGTCATACAAATTCCAACGAACCAGCTGGGTTGTGGGAAGTACCAATTTCATGACCAATTGATTTACAAATACTTATTTTTGTTTAATCTCTTTAGAAAGAAAAAAATAAATCAGTCTTACTCCTACTTATGACTAGCTTGTTTAATGTGGTGTATCCCTCACTTTTCTAAATTTCTTACATCCAGATCTTTGGGTTATCTGAAATGTAGGTCTGTAATTGCAGGTGACATTGAATATATATTAGTATAAATTTCTACTCACACACAATTCAACACCTACTAAGGAATTATTTGTTCTATTATAGCTGTATTTGTAAACCCAGACAAGTAATTTCCTGAGGGCCAAGCATTTAGCTATTCCAGAGGGGGACAGCTTCGCTGATGCCCACCGGGGTGAGATGCCCAGCTGAAGTCAGCAGCCAGGAACCCATCTGCAGCATTTGGGTTTGCAGCTCTGAGCACTCCCCAGCCCCGACGAGGAGCTGCACCTGTGTTACGAGGTAGACCGAAACATGCTGCATAGAAATGCATTGAACTGAATCTGCCAGGGAGCAGAATTGATGCTTTGTATCATTCCTATTAAGAAAAAGCAGGAAAAACATTCCAGAACTACAGGGTCATTTTATTTGCATATGGGCACACACTTGAATGCAATCAAGTGACAGCACTGTAACAAATTCACACTCATGCAGAGAGCCTGTGTGACGAACTTCATGTGTGCTCTTGATCTGCCTCAGCTGTGGGGTACAGCATGTTAGCTTAAGCTTATTTTATTAAAGTCATTTGATGTTGTGCCAAGCCGTTGCTTTTAGCCCTCCTTGCTGCTGCGAATCAGAGAAGGCTGTGCTGTCCTTCACTCTCCACAGAGTATTTCCAGGGAATAACCTTTCTGTGCTGTCTTGGAAAAGGGTTGTGTCTCCCAAGGTGGAGTGGAGGGTTGGACTAGATGACCCACAGAGGTCCCTTCCAACCCCTAACATTCTGTGATTCTATGACAAGGTGGCCAGGTACTCACCCTCATCGCTGTGGACATTGCAGGAAGGATGGTGCAACCTCTGCACTGACTCTGAATTGAAATCTGGTTGGGATTTGGATCGATTGGCATCAACAGTTGGGTGGCAACTCTGCAAAGTCCGGAAGACTCAAAATCAGTTTTGCGTGCCTCCTTTCCTGGTTTCCATCTGGGAGAAGGCATGTATGGATAATCTCTTGTTTCCAAGGTAACACCAACTTGTTGATACAATAGCTGTGAACCATTGCACGGCATGAGGTATCTATTTGTTTACATCTGTGCCCTGTTTAATATTAGATACCTCGTGGGTTTTTTAGGTTCTTATTTTTGTGTATTTCTCCTAAACAAGACAACAGTTGCTTACCTTTACAACTGAGGTTTGATACGAAGTAGAAGGTGTTCTGATCAAGCAGCTTTTAGGAAACAGCACTTAAATAAAAAAAAGGGGGGGATGTAAAATTAGGGCCACTCAAAGGTCAGTATCATGGGCACAATAAATCTCAAATCCAAATACGCCCTTCTGCTTGGCTCATTGTTTGCTAAGTGGGCACCAACAAATGTTTCCTGAGGGAAATTTTTTTTGTTGCATGGGCGGCATTTTCATTACCAGCCTTTAAAGCACTCCTTGCAGTGTTGTGGCCAATCCACATTACAGCCCCTGAGCGTCTCGCAGCACATCTGTGGGAGAAGGCTTTTGGAGGTAGACCGAGCCTCCCAGTTTATGTTTGCCCTGTGGTACATCTACTTTTACTTGAAAGCTGTGCTTGTTAGCAGGCCAACTTAAAGGATAAATATTGCACCTTGTTTATTCTGTCAAAGATATGGGCAGGCACAGGTGGCAGTGTCTGTGCTGGAGCTGGTGGGAAGGGAGATGAAGAGACGGCTGTCTGTGTCTACTTGACACTTCATTTATTCCTGCCTAGTCCCTCTGGGAGCTCTTCCCAAGGCTGTGTAGCTGTTGGTGAATCTGGCCTGTGTGTTTCCTGGCATGTTCGTGGGGAAATCTGATCTCGGCTTTGGTTTCACCACCTTATTTTTACATACTTTATATACAAGCCATCATAAAACTGTTCAAACTGTCATAATCTTCTTAGTGCAAGGTAGACCAGAAGTCCAGCTTGGACATCCGCAGATTCGACAGCTCAGAATTTCACGTGCTGTTTCAAAGGGTTAACCTGTTCGTTAGAAATGACTGTTTCCCCAAATACAGGATATTCTAACCCAGTGACTCGAAGTTTGGCAAGGTTATGGACAACTCCATGCTGGTTTTGCTCCAAGCAGTATTGCTCAGCTTTGGTATGAGGTGGAATTACTGGTGCAGCTGCAAAGTAGAATACAGATGTAGGATAATCGCTGCTAAAGTTTTGCAGGCACTACAGAAGAGTACTGTAAAGCATTCAGATTTTGTCATATGTTCATTAGGATGATGTGCTTTCAAACCAAGAAAACACCTGCTCCTCTCCAAACTTCGATTTCCTGTAGTACCATTAAGACCTGCACAGGCAACAAAGGCAAAAAATAAAATAATCTGAAAGTTTCATTCCTTCTGGATGCTGAGTGAGATTTCCCTGGAGGATATTGTAGAAGACAGGGGGAAATGAAGTGCTTTCAGAAATAAAAGTTATATTGAACTATGTCATGGTATGATAGTAAACTTTATTAGTGAGCAGTTACAGGATTTTTGGTTGCTATTGATACCACTTGTCAAGAATCATGCTACTGTATCTTCAAAGCTATCATCTGCCTTACTTCACCTTGTCAGTATAGGGAAATATCCTGATAATCTGTTGTGGTTAGTATTGTCAGGTATTATGCCATATTTCATTGGCATAATCGGCCTCTTCAGGTATTGATGATTTATTTTCTGCATGCTGGAAAATCATGCGTAAAAATGGGTTTACATAAGCACGTTTTTTCTGTCTGAGTGTCTCCTGGGTTTGGCTGCAATAGGGTTAGTTTTCACAAGAAGCCGGGAAAGCTGACCCAAACTAGCCAAGCAAAAGGGATATTCGATATCGTGTGATGTCATGCTCGGTATTTAAGTGGGGGAGCTGGCTGACTACTCAGGAGTGAGCAGAGCATTGGGCACTGAGAAAATTGCACTCTGTATATTCTTTTTTTCAGCATTTTTGTTGGTATAGTCTTCTCCCTTCACTGTTCTGTTAAACTGTCTTTATCCCAAACCACGAGTTTCACGTTTTTCTTCCAGTTCTCCTCAGCATTTCTCTGCAGGGGAGGAGTGAGGGAGCGACCGTGTGGTTCTTTGTTGCTAGCTGGGACTAAACCACGACAAAGTGTTACTGGACTGTTAGCAAACACTGTTTCTGAATGTGCTCCTTGGGCAGGTCGGAGCAGATTCCCAAAACTCGACTCTGACTTCATACATATTTTTTGCCTGCCACAAAGCATGTGAAGCAGTGAAGTTTGGCTTCCTGCAGGTTTGTGTGCACCCTGTGTTAGTCACAGCCACAGGAGCTGGGGCTGTTGCCTCACTGAAAGGTTATATGATCACATTAAAAATCGATGAAATTCCTTGTTCTCTTTTATTCATCCGTATCATAGAATCATAGAATAGTTTGGGTTGGACAGGACCTTTCAAAGTCATCTAGTCCACCCCCCCTGCAATGAACAGGGACATCTACCACTAGACAAGGGTGCTCAGAAACCTGTCCAACCTGACCTTGAATGTTCCAGGGATGGGGCATCTACCACCTCTCTGGGCAACCTGTTCCAGTGTTTCACCACCCTCATTGTAAAAAATTTCTTCCTTCTAGTCTAAATATACCCTCCTTTACTTTAAAGCCATTACCCCTTGTCCTATCACTGCAGGCCCTGCTAAAAAGCCTGTCCCTGTCTTTCTTATAACCCCCCTTTAAGTACTGAAAGGCTGCATTTAGGTCTCCCTGGAGCCTTCTCTTCTCCGGACTGAACAGCCCCAACACTCTCAAGCTTTCCTCCTAGGAGAGGTGTTCCAGCCCTCTGATCATTTTTGTGGCCTCCTCTGG